GTGCATCTGTTGTAGATGGACATAATTGGTTGTATCCAGTTGCTTTAGGAGTCTTTGATTCTGAAACAAATGATAACTGGATATGGTTCATGACTCAGCTTAGAGAGGCGATTGGAGCACCGAGGGGTTTAGCCATATGCACTGATGCTGGACAAGCTATGATGGCAGGGGTAGCAGAAGTGTTTCCACAAGCTGAACATAGAGAATGCATGTTTCACTTGGTGTCAAACTTCAAGAAGAAATTCCATGGGAAGGTATTTGATGACCATCTTTGAGCTGCAGCATACTCGTGGAACTCCTATTTATTTGAGAAGCATTGGGCAACAATGGAGGTGGCTAGGCCAGCCGCAACAAATTATCTAAGGCAATGCCACAAAAAGTTGTGGACTAGGAGTCAGTTCTTGACCATATGCAAAGTTGACTATGTTACAAACAATTTGGCAAAGAACTTCAACAATTGGATCAAGTCTCACAAATCCATGAACTTAGATGACTTGATGGACAAGATTAGGCAAATGGTTATGACAAAGTGGCATCAAAGGAGGACGATTGGACAGAAACTAGATGGATTGATTCTGCCACACATAATCAAGGAGCTTAATGAAAAGAGTAGAGAACTAAACTTGGAAGTGCTTGAATGTGGACCACATGTTGCTGAAATAACTGCACTAGGAGGTAGTGCCTTCAGATTTGTGGTTAACTTGGAAGATAGAACTTGTTCTTGTCGAGAGTGGCAAGTTTCTGGTCTTCCATGCAAACATGCTCTTGCATTCATCACAGCTCTTGATAATGGTAAAATAGAGATGCATGTGGACTCTTACTACTCCATTGAAAAATTTAGAGCAGCCTATGCCCAACTAATACCTTCTATGATTGATAAGACACAATGGCCTAAATCTTCCCATGGGTTTTTTTATGCATCCCCCACTATTGACACCCGTAGCTAGTAGGCCCAAAACTGAGAGGCATAAAGGTGGCACTGAGAAGAAAAAAAAAAATAGCCAGCACCAGTGTCCTATTTGCCTGGACTATGGGCATCATTGGCACAATTGCAAGAAAAGCAACCCGGCTGACATTGAAGCTATGAAGGCTGTGAGGTAAGAAATGTGTTCATATTTTGCTGCATCAAATAATTTGCTACAACCCACTTACTAATCTCTTATTGCTCAATGTAGAGGACCACTATCTTCACACTGGAGAGTGTACTTAATATAGTTGTTCTTCTGCTAGGTCCTTGTAATTACCTAATTACTGGGACTTTCAACTTTGACAGGATTAGCTTTCCCTTTTCTCTAACCGTGCTTGCCCAAGATGTTCTATTTCAACCATTGTTTTACCTATACACTAGTCACTGATACTTGTTTGGCACTTCCATGTTTCGTTAGTGGCCAAATTGCTACTGAGAAGAAACTTTCTACAGTATGAGACAATTTTGTAATGCCAGTGTTGCAACTTGCAAGTGACAACAAAATATCCTTGATTTCTAAGGAATGTTTTGGTGCCATGGAGCTCTGCCCATGCACCAAAGATGGTTGTCTATTTGGCCTTAAGTGGATGAGATAAAACACTGAAAATTGATGGCAAATAGTAAGGGAGAAGGCTTCACAGAGGAGTAATTTGTTATTCTTGCATTTCCCCCCCACAGAATATACACAGAGAGAGAATCACCCTTCTATGCTAGCATCTTGACTTGGCCACCTAGGATTAAAGAAATTGGTTTATCATATATAGAGAACATTTCTATCTGGAAATAAATCCATTAAATAACGAAACAAAATGATCTAAAATCGAAGGCTTGAACTTGTTTATTAGCATTTTGATTAATCTTGTGATTTTGAGAAGTAGGAATTTCTCTCAACATATTTGGATTTTTATAGCCCGTGTATGATGGATAAGTAGCACGATACTGTTTATACGACTTCTCTTTTTATATGCCATACTATGCATTCTGGGTTTATGGTAGTTCACATGATGTGCGTAAGAACTTGATGTGTTTTCTAAGCATGATCACAAAAGGCCGTTGTAACCACCGGATGCCTTCTGTTTTGAGCTGCTTCTGAAATTCCAAGCCTGTGGATAATTCTTTATTTGCTTGTATATATGTAAAATCAACTTGAGAACAGTACAGCAGAAGTTTTACTAGTATATATGCCATCAGAGGCTGTAGAAAATGCCAGTTACAATTCTCTGCTGTAGTCTCTATGCTGCCAAGTTGAGTTGGTGCTACACATGCTGGAATCAGCTGTTAATCAAGTAACTGACTGTCACCTCTGTGCCAGTTGATGTCTTTGCTCTGTAGTATGAATTTGCCAATCTTGTCTCGTATTTCTGAATATTAATCTGTAGTCAATGAAGAGCAAGGATGTCATCCTAGTTTGAATGTACATGTGCAGGTCAAGAAGCGGCTCCAATCAACCCGAGCCAATTTCCACCGAGTTTCAATCTCCATCAAAGGAGAAGGCTAAAAGGACCAAGAAACAACTTGCTTCAAACCTGAAAAAATTTGACAGCCCTGCAATGGGCACCAGAAACAAAATAACTAACCTTGCTAGTCCTGCAAATAGCACAAGAAGCAAGAGAAGGTTGAGCTTGTGATTCTCTATGTAGATGTGCTTGGCAATGTGTAAGGCATATGCTCTATGAACTGTAATGTGAACTTAGACCCTCTATGTATGAACCTTCATGTGTTTATGTTTATGAACCTAGTAATGTATGCATAACCTGGACATGTGAACTGTAATGTGATTCTCTATGTAGATATGCTGACAATGTGGTCAGATTTGTGAAGCTTGTGCATCAAGTATATTTGTCATATTTGTGCTTTCCTTATTTGACATTATGTCCATTTATTCTTTTCCTATTTGGCACTACATGTTCCTGTTACATATAAGGGCATATATGTCATTTTAGGTGTCACCTGACACCGTTATTGCATTAAATGGACGGAAGTGCCATATACGGAAGGAATTTTCAAGTTGATGCTAGATAAGGAAGTTTAAAATTTCCAGTGTCAAATACGGAAGGGCGATTTGTTTCAGCGTCAAATAAAGAATTCTCTCTACATTTAACTATTTTTGTTTTTACGCAAAACTAGTCCTAGGTATATGTTGGTGAGTTTTTTAAGCAAAAAAAAAGTCTGAACGTGTTCTCATGGTCGTCGCACTGGTCAGACATGATAACAGGGTGGAGCTACATTATGCCATCGGGTTGGCTGACCACTACGATTTTTAGAATTCCAACGAGAAAATACTGTATATAGTGCTAATAGTTCCTAATGACTTCATCTATTTTGATGGTCATCTCGCTAGATTGGCCACTGCATGATAAAACCCAACGTATCCGTGCACAATGCAATGTTGCCATGTTGGGCAGTTTGGGGCTTTATTTTGGACAGACCAGGCTGAAGCTCCCTTTTTCGGCCTGAAATAAGCAAAAGCATAGGAAGCCCCCAAAAAATGGCCTAATGCAACAACAACAAAAACATCCAGGCTCAGGTTTGTCAAAGTATTAGGCTCTCGGCGGGCCAAAGTATTTTTCATCATTTCGTTTCAAAGAAAAGTATTTTTCATCAGCCTTTTAAAAGTTGAGTGCATGAACAGGTCTAGTGTATGTAAGTTGCTCTCTAATTTTGCTCAGCTCCTAGTAGTAGTAGATGATTCTAAAGCTAGATGCCACGTTGGCTTCTCTATGGGAGTCTGCTTATTTCTCATAATAGTTTCAGTGGTGCAACGGAGTGGTGGTGCAACTCGTTTATTGTTCGCTAGAAATCCCCTAGGTTTGACACACGGGGGTGTGTCTTTATTATTGTGGCTATATTTCTTTCATTCAATTGAATAAACGGCTTGTGCGTGTCCATCGGTAATGAGAAGCACGTGAAGACTTGCTCAATCTTAATTAAGATTCATCGATTTATTGATACTAGCAAACGTGCTCGTATATTGCAACAGAAACCCAATATGTATAGAAATTAGACTCGATAGCCGCGATTTGTTCTAACTTATATAAGCACGTGTTATAAATCCGGGTCACATATGAGATATAGAAAAGTGTGACACAATATGTTTTGAAATCGGACTAGGTATCAATAATTGCTAGACACAAGTTGTTCAGACTCGTATGAGCATGGGTTACTGGTTCAAGTCACATGTAAGACATAGAAGGCATGATCCAATACGTTTTGAAATCCGACTCCAGATCAATTGTCGCTAGACCCAAGTTACTTACTCTAACTCATATGAATATGGGTTATAAATCTGAATCATATACGAGACATAGAGAGCGTGTGTGCAGTATGGAAAATAAAAAGTGGACAGAAGAAACTCTCAACTATCTGGATAATTAGAGAGAGAGGGTGGATGAAAAAATTAAAATTGAATGTTGGATCTTTAATATTAGGCGTGGATTTAGATATAGATTTATTTACAGATTTGATTTGACGTGGGTTAGCAGGTGGCAGTTTTTTTATTTATACTATTTTTTTAGAATTACACGGTACAACGTAGACGTCCATAACCCGCACGCACACTCACCTTAACACACGTACGCAAACCCTACCTCTATGAGCACCTCGAAAGGTTTGAGCCGGCAGATCTCGAGATTCATGAAGTCACCACAGATGCCTCGTTGTCGACGGGGACATCGTCTACCACTGAAAGCATAGCGTCGTTAAATCCAGAAAAATATAAATACCCATGCTAAGTTGAGGACTTGAACCGGATGGGCATTAAAAAAAAAGCATTGGGTCTGGTCCGTGGACCGGTCTATGATTTTATGGGCCTCAAGCCCTCGAGCCAGACTCGTTCATGAAAATACGGCCCACGAGGGATGAACCCCTGTTGCTGCTGGAGTGGACAGACCAAGACCAACACCAACTCGGCGTGCTCCTCGGGCGGCGGCGGGACTCTTCTTCCTCTCCAAGAAGTACCGCCGCCACCACGCGCCGCAGCTCCCATACCACCCTCCCAGCCACCTCGCCTCGCGCACAGATCTCACAGACGGCAATGGCGTCCCCCGAGCCCGCCGCGCAGCCGAGCCTCGCGCAAGAGAGCCCCACTCCCACACCCGCCGCGGCGCCCTCTGCCGCGCCCGCGGCTGAGCAAGAAGGGCCGCCGCAACCGCAAGAACCTGTCCCCGATGCGGAGGCGGAGAACGCGGAGGGGGAGGAGGAAGGTGAGTGCGGGTTCTGCCTCTTCATGAAGGCCGGCGGCTGCAGGGACACCTTCGTGGCGTGGGAGGAGTGCGTGGAGGCGGCGCAGAAGGACGGCGACGACATGGTCGAGCGCTGCCACGAGGCCACTGCCAACCTCAAGAAGTGCATGGACGCGCACGCCGACTACTACGCGCCCGTGCTCAGGGCCGAGGAGGCCGTCAACGAGCGCGCCGAGGCCGAGGCCGCCGCCGCCGCTGCTGCGGCCGACGACGCCGCGAAGGGCAAGGGAGGGGAGCCAGCGATTGATTCGGAGAATAAGGAAGAAGCCGTGCCCCAGCCGGCTGCTTCCTCCCCGCCAACCGCCGGCGTGGGGAACGATGCGGAGAATAAGGAAGAAGCCGTGCCCCAGCCGGCTGCTTCCTCGCTGCCGGCGGCCGGCGAGGCGAAGAAAGAAGCAGCAGTTGCTGAGAAGATTTGAGTATAACTAACAATTGTTGTTGGGTTGGTTGTTAGGTTCATAATACTAGTTCGTGAGGTTAATTTTGGTTCCCTTTGAGGGGAAATAAGGCTGTTCTGCGCATAATTGTTGGACGTGGCACGCAATTTATACTGAAGAAATTTTTATACTGTTACTTGATTTTGGTGATGCTACCTGATGGTGTATGCTACTCTTTTCACTGAAACCATAAGGATTACTCTTACATCTTGCATTGAAATTACATAACTCCCATTTTGTTTGTGAAAAAAAATCTTATTGCTGGGTACTGCATTGCACACATGCTACTAGTAATTGCAATGTCCAAGAGTGATGTGTTGGCCTTGTTCTTCTGAATAAGCCTGAGAAATTAAAAATGGGCGTTTTTGATGCTCTTGTGATGTCAAAGAGTGGTACTTGTGAGACAATGCTGGGTAGATCCAGGAGAGATTCGCATTTAGTAACTGTGGTGTTCTAAGCCGGATATGGCCTCCTCTGGTAACTTTGAGATTTTACCTTCGATCTGTAATATGCAGCAGTGACAGGATTGTTAAGCAAGTCTATTACGCAAATACTCTGACTGTAGAAGCATGTTTGAATGCTGGCGACAATTCTTCTGTATTCTTTTTAACTGCTTACTCATTCGTGTGGTTTGAGATGGACTGTGACTTGTCCATCCCAATAGCTTGTTTTGGGCTTATTGTACGGAAACAATCTGTTGTAGAATGCCCTTAATACTACAACCTATGAAAAAAGGAAAATACCATATTTTGAACTGTTCGTTGTGGCACTAAAGTGGTGGTTGTGTTTGATTGGATAAGCTAGTTTACAGTTTCATCTGAGATTGTGATTTATGTTATGCTCAGTTGGTGAGAGGCTATTAGCATCCACCTTTTTGGAGCTTTCTTAAGCTTATACCTGCAAAATCATCTCCCGGTTGAGATGGTTTCCTCACAAACAGCTTTACTAATTATATTCCTGTTTAAGTGTAGGTCGGACCAGTGAGCTTTTAAGCAAAGTTCCAGTAATTTATTCGTTGTAAAAATACTCTCATTGCTTCGGTTCTGAGGTCCAAACATATTATTTCACAGTTTTGTTTCAGTTCACTGAAAACATTATGGCAGACCAACAGGATTTTACAGTTAGGATTCAGGGTTATATATGCTCGGTTTGTTTCTATCTATGTTTTCCCTTCTTCGAATAATATGAGTATCATGGGTATTCATCTTAATACCTGTTGGTGATGTATGCTACTCTTTCTTACTGAAACTATAGGGACTACGCTTCACTTGTTGCATTGACATTATAAACCCTCATTTATTCTTCGCAAAATACTGCAATGTCTAAGATTGATGTGTTGACATTATTCAGATGGATAAACCTGAGATAATTTTAGATTTGGAATTATGATGCTCTTGTGCAACATCAAAGTCTGGTGTTTTAGAGATACAGTGCTGGATCAGCCCGGGAAGATTTCACATTTGTTAATTGCGGTGTTTTACAACGGACATGGACTCTGTTGATTCTGACATTTTAACCTTCGATCAGTAATTTGCAGTAGTGACAGGAGGACTGTTAAGTCTATGGAAGCATATCCTGCTTGATTGCTGCTGATCATTCTTCTGTATTCTTTTTAATTGCTTTGTTGCAGACTTTCAGCTGAGTCGTTTGGGATAACCTGGGCCTTGTCATACCATTAGCTTGTTTTGGGCTTATTGTGCAGAAACAACATGTTGTAGAATGTCCTAAGACTAAAACCAAAAAAGACCATCACCCTGTTCGGCTGGTTGATCTTGGCTGATTTTGGCTGGTTGTACAGTTCACCAGAATCAGCTTCAGCCGATCAGCAGAAGCACCAGCCGTTCGGCTGAATTAATTGCTGCCAGGAATTTGAATTCAACAGCCACCATTCAAAACCTGGCGCCAACAGCCCAGCTCTCAATACATAGTTGGCGCCAATGAACAGCAAACTGAACCCACCATTTACAAGGCATACATTTCATACAAATAAATAGTTGTCCACATTAACAACTACCAGGCTCAATACTATGTTCATCAGCAAGACGTACACCCAGGTATTAATACAGTTCATTTGTCCACCACAGTACTCTAATATACATGGATTAGTGGAGCATTATACAAAACATGTAGCTGTTCCAACTACCATTTGAAACAACTACTCAAACAGACGCAAGCAACTTCGTGTTGGTCTGCTCCACGAACACCAGATATTTGGCCATTCGCCGAATATTTGCATATGCCTAATTTGTAATACTACCCTACTAGTTTCATTTGACAACTACAGCTACATCTAAGAAATGGCCTAAGTGGAATCTGTACAAAATTTGTACCAGTTACACGGCACATATGTAACAGCACGAAGAAGATACCCATGCAAAATACCCTTACCCAACCATCACTGATCTTCATGCCATCCTCCAATCCACTTCAACCATCTCCTCAACCCGACCGGATCACCTGCAGGTGCACACATTCAGATCGGACCCAACTTAGCCATGAATCAAATCATTGTTAAATGACCAAAGTGTCAACACAATTCACTTACTTCAACTGCAGACTTGCTACTCCAAACTTTACCCAGTCACGAACCTTACCCATATCCTGAGTTGAATTTTGTGCTAGCCAGGCATGTGTCCATTCGTTCATTGGAGTACCTCGACTAGGAGGTTTTCAGACCCTCCATGTAATTGTGCAGTCCAAAACAAGCCAAAATAATCTTGGATTGTTTCTCTCTCGGATAGTGAGCAACTCCTTGCATCATTTGCCATCTAGCTTTGAGGACACCAAATGACCTTTCTATTACGTTGCGCAAACTAGAATGGTGGAAATTGTACACCTCTTCCCAATTCTCAGCATGCCTGCGCTCAAACTCCCTAAGATGGTACCTGTTGTTCCGATACGGCCCCAAGTACCCCACTTCACCTGCGTAGCCCGAGTCTACCAGGTAGTACCTGCCTGCAAACCACGATACACATAATCAATTTCAGCTACACTTGAAATTCAAAACATCTAAGTCGTGTACCCTTGATAGTCAGCGTACCTTCAGGTGGGTGCGGGAAACCTGGCACCGCCCAAGTGTCCCTCAGCACCTTCATGTCGTGGACTGCCCCCGCCTTGCCAACACCAACAAAAGTGAACCGCATGTCAAATTCGCAAACAGCTATGACATTTTGGCTGGTCCATCCTTTCCTATTTGTGAAATCATCATGTGCTTTCCGATCAACACACACCCTGATGTGGGTTCCATCTAAGGCACCGATGCAGCCATCAAAGAAAGGTGTGTACTTCCCTAGTCTCTCATGCACCGTTGTGTAATGTGCGTCCCTAGGCCTAAGAATTGCATCTGCAAATGACACCACCGACTCCAGCACTTCCCCAAAGTTGTCGCTAACAGTCCCCAATCCCCTGTTAAATCTCTCTGCCATTTGCCTTTGACACTGCCTAGTGCCAACTGCCCAAAGGAACATCGCTAATCCCTCTACGGAGGAGAGCTCCCCAGTCGATTGGAGCCCATGGTACTGAACTAAAAGGTAATGCAACTGGCGGAAAGCGTCGGGATACATACGAAAGTGTATTTTGCATCTTTTTGGTTCCTGTAGTACCTTCTGAACCCATTGCAGGCCAGTCAATTTGTCGAGGTCACACGCAGGAGGCTGAACTGGAATAGCAGGTAGCCATTGCCACTAATCCGCCATAATAGGCTGCCAACTCCGTAGTGTCCCAGAAACTTGCGTTTGAATCACTTGAATGTTCACTTCCCTTGTCGGTGCTGTCCATGGTCACACAACTACAACAGCAGATTTTTAGACCTGCATGACATGAACGCAAGACATCAGTCAGCTACACAGTTTACAGCCCTAGTTAGGATACTCAGTTGCAGTAGCTCCAATTACTTGACGCTCACCAGATCAGTTCGCCTAGCAGGCGCCAAGGACTCAAGAACCAAACAATCAATTCACATTGTTAGATCAGCATGGGCACCACAATGTGCAAACCTGCAAACCAACATACACATGTCAGGACTGCTGCATGCAACTGGAAACAAAGAAAGTGCACAGTATGACACAATACAAACCTTAATAATTACTGCTATGATATCAACCGTATTCTGAACGTCACAATGGATAATAGAGTCTTCTCTTGTTTTTGTCAAGACCAAGAAGCTGCACTATATGCTGCGCCTGACTGCTTCAACTTGGCGCCCAACCGAGGCGTGTACCTGTAAACCAAGAAGAAAAGAAAAGAATCAGTTCCTTGAAGTTTAAGGATGGTGACAGCATTAACAAGACAAGAACTAAAACCATGATTATTGAGCAGCATTACATCCTTCAAGATTATTAAAACCAGGTTTGACAAACGACATGTCAAAAGTACACACGACAGGTACAAACAGTCTTAACATTACAGTTCGAAAATTTAAACTACTGGTTCGCGACGATGAAAACTAAAACTAGAACTAAAACATGCGATGCATCCTTGTTGGTAACACTAGTTGCGATTCTGCTTGCTCTTCGTCAAGGCCTTGTCCAGGTCCACTCAATTAGATCATAGTCTAATTAGGTTTAAAAGATTCTTCGTGAATTTCGCGCGTAATTATTTTTATTTTTTATTTATATTTAATGCTTCATGCATGCGTCCGAAGATTCGATGTGACGGGGAATCTTGAAAAATTTTGCAAAATTTTGATAACTAAACAGGCAAACAGGCACCAGGTCCACTCGATATACTTCACGCGATGTTCCTTTTCTTTGATGTTTTTGTACTGAGCCCAGCACACCGCCTTTTGGAACAGATCCAATGCCATGTAGTACAGGTCATACCCTTCGCTGACACCGTCTTGATGTAGCATTTCCATCACTTCGGCCTGCTCCTGTTGCTTAAGGGATGCTCTTCGTTCTTTCAATTCCTTTCAGCTATTCTCTGTGATAAGCTTGCCATGTACTCTCCCAAATTGCAAGACCTCTTTTTTTCTGGGCTGGTAA